TATACAACCATTTCAAGATTTATTGGGTTATTTCCCAAAACTAGTGATTGAAATTGAAATAAACACATCACATGTATGTATGCATATTGCAATATATGTATGTTTGTAGTTTCGTTTATGTATTTGTGCGATTAAAATTTTATTTAAAAATGTTTTTTCTCTCTCTGCCTCTTGTTTTGTCACTGCACTAGTAATCATTGTTGTTATTGCTGTTGGTGTAGTAAAGTTCTTTACGCAAAACAAATATAACAACACGCCAAACAACAAACCACTCATGCATGTTTATTATCTGTGGTTTATATGAATTGACCGGAAACGGCACAGATGCATGCACACATTCTCATATAAGTAAACATATCGATCCCTTAAACAGTGAGTTTTCAACAAAAAAGCAGAGATTTATCATCGAACACATTTCTCTTAAAAAGTAAGCCTCGACATATATTTATAAATATTAAATAAATACTTTTGTTGTATAAGAAAAATAACACACATTTTTTTCACTATTTTATAAATAAGTTTTATGATTTATAGAATTTGAGAAAAGTTTATCTGTTCATAGTTCTTTACAAGTTTCGACCCCACAAATTGAATAAATTAAATGAAAAAAAACATTTTTTTTATTAGTGATTCCAAAATTTAAAGACTAAAAATTGGATGGGCATAGATGAAGTAATCTTGTCTCTCTCCTCCTGCTTTTTCATTTGTTCATATAAGTATAGATATGATTCAATGTTTTGAAATGCATATTATGTAGAAAATGCAATTCCTATATGAGTTTAAACACAGCAAAAAAATAAACGAAGTATGTATGTATGTATGTCTTTTTTGGATTAAAATTTTTGTGAGTTGGAATATCTCATTTTTGGGTTTTTCTGTTAAATGTGTGTAATTGTATTATTAGTGTTAATATTATTAAGTCAAATATTAAAAACTTCCAAATCAGTTCCAATAAAAAACATACAAATAACTTTTTGAGCTCTACTTCCGAAGTAGCAAATTTGAAATAAAAGAAGACATACCTCCAATGACAAGCCTGTGTTAAAATCAGTGCTTCTTCAGATCTTTTACAGTACTTCTGTGGATTAAATTTAATTTCTTTTTCGGGTTTTAGTAATTTTTTGGGGAAGTAATAATAAGATTATGTTTTAAAACAAAGATACTTTTACGTAACTTCAATGTTTTTTATGGTATGACATTTTAAATACCTTTATTACTTCTCGCTGCATTTACTGTTGAAGAATTTTATTAAACAAATTCTAAATCTTCTTCTAAATCCTTGACGCTTCTAATGAGTATGAACATTACGAATTGGCATTTACTGCATTTACTGTTCAAGAATTTTAATAAACAAGTTCTAAATCTTCTTCTAATACCTTGACGCTTCTAATGAGTATGAACATAACGAATTAGCTTTAAAAATATAAAAAAAAATCATCGAGCAATAAGTAACAAAAGTCAAGCATAAATTTTATACTTTTCTCATTTCAATAATATTTTTTTGCAATGCTTAATGAAAATCGTATTACAAATTATTTTTGTAAAGAGTTTTGGACATAAAGAATTTAAGTTTGTAAAACCACACCCATTTTGGAACAAATGCTTTACATCAAAGCTTCAAAATGTACAGATATAAAGTAAGTAAAGCAATAAAAGCTGTAGCAGCTAGGGAATCAAGTGTAGAGAAGATTGTTGGAAGATGGAGATTGTTGATAACAATAAACATGAAATGGAGACATCATAAAAACCGGAAACTGTGTACGTTTATTGAATCTGTAACATGGAATTATATTTGATAAGCATTTCCGCTTATAATGATAATAATGTTGTTGATGCTTTTCCTTTAGCTTCTGCTGTAAAGTAAAGTCAATGTTGTTGTTATTGTAGTTGTTATTAGAGTTGATGTTGATTGTGATTGTAATGATATTGCTGCCACTGCCATTGCTGATGTTGTTGTTATTGTTCGTAGTGATTCGTATAGAAAATCCAATATCATTTTTTTCAATTTTCTCTCATCACATTTTCCAGTTAGTATTTGTTTTTTTTTTTTATTATTTTTCATTTTAAAACCTCAAGTCACAGAACCGAAAGTCATAATTTTTCTCTAAAGTTTCTTTTGTTATTAATATTGTTGCTATTCTATACTGTACTATTCTCTCTATCTTGTGTATTTACTTATTTTAACTCTATTATTTTTTTTCATCCCAACTTTAGGACTTAGTGTAGAATTTTATATAATTTTTACTTAAATCTTAAAAATAGAAAAACCAAAAACTAAATAAATAGTTTATTGCAAACTAGATTGCTAAAATAAGTATGTATGTATGTGTGTGTATGATGATTATAACATTTATTGCTTGGTTTGGCTCAATTTATAGTGATTGGTTAAAAATGCATTTGTTTGCATAGATGCGTGATGGTTTTATGTTTCTGAAGACTGGTTTTAATAACGATTTATTTTAGTTGCTTTCATTTATGTCTTAATACAACACCAAAAATAATAAATAGCTTTTGGTATGTACATATGTATGAATGTAGTGCGTTAACCATAGATAAATGTAATGCATTATATTTGATTAAATTCTTGTGTTTTCTTTTACCAATTTTGATGATACTTAAGAGTTCTCGGTGAAACGTTAGAAACAACATGCCCAAATATTAATACATACATACATGTGTACATATGTATGTATATTTCATGTAGATGTAATATGAAACAAAAATCTTCTTTATTAATTGTATTGGAATCTTATTTTATAGAATGATTATATTTTAACCTCATCAATTATGTACCCTTCAAAGCAAATAAACTTTTTTTTGTTATTTTCCTCAGTTGATATTTAAATAGAAAAACTTATGTATGTATGATGGGAAGTAAATAAATATCAATTGTGTCCAAGATACTTTTCAGCAAAGGTAGATTTGTATTTATTTTGGTAAAATAAAGTTTTTTCTTGTTCAATAACACTATTAAATGTAGTCATCGTCTTGTTTTAATAAACTTTCAAAAGTACTAAATCTTCATTGTTGCTTTCAGTTTTCTGCTGGATGTTGAAGTCTGAATTTGTTATTTGTATTCTCTGGTGTATCGTATATTTTGTATGCGTGTACATATTTATTTATATACATACTTACACACATACATTTACGTTTGAGTATGTATGTGTGTAGTTGTAAGTGGAGGCATGTTTGTGATAATTCATAAAAATCTTCTTTAATTTATAAATACAGGCTGTCTACGCTTATAAGTTTAACAAATTTGCCTGTAAGTGGCAATTTGTTTTATGATCTGCTGTGTTGGCTGGCGTCCTCTCCCTTTCTCCCACTCCCATTCTTTATCCCAAATCGCCAACTCACACATACAGAAGTATTTTAGCCTTTCTTTGTTGCCAAACTAACAAAAAGACGGTTTGTTAATATTTTAACAGCAAATTTGTGAACAACATCCGTAATCCGAGGCATTTATCAATAAGTTTCTTTTGTTACTGTGTTGCTTTTGGAACATGGTTGGTGTATTAAGTCGAAGCATGAAGAAGGAAAAGTCGAAGTATTGAAGAAATTGCTCAAGCATTCGAATATGTGAGCCTTTAAATCTACTTTACTCTTTAATACACACACAAACACACAGATATACATATACATACATACATGCACAAATAAGACACAGGGAATATGCCGTCCTATTATTTATGCATGTCACGTTAAATTTATAGGTACTCAGAGACTTGACTTATGAAGGCAAAAGAACTGAAAAAAAGTTTTTTTTTTGAAATTACGTTTAATTTTTTTGGCCTTGATTTTCTGGATATAAAAAACTTTTTCTGACTTTTGCAATTTAGAATGAAGGAAAGGGCGAGCGAGAGGGAGGGTAAATAATAAAAAATAAGATTTAAAAATGTGTGTTCATTTATGTTTAATTCTTAAATTTATGAGCTGTTCTTCAGTCTCATCCTTTTTCAGAGGGATTTATGCAAAACTGATCTTTATTTAGCTTAAATCCTTTCAGACTTGATTTTAATGTGCCTTGATAAGTTGAGTCTCTGCAAAAAAAGGAAACTGAAAACACCTTTACAAAATTTATGTAAATGTTGTCATTGTCACTGTAGTTGTCTTTGTTTTTGTTTAGCGCAAAAGGACTTCTTTTTCCCTAATCTCTAAAACCCACACACTGACACATTTCTAACTCTATAGACCCAAATATTGTTGCCACTACTTCCATTTTTGGCTTTAAATGTCACAAAATGTTCTGTTTATTTCTATGAATGTGTATGAGTATAAATAACTAAATGTGTTTGTGTGTGAGTATTCATGAGAATGTGTAGAAATGGCATTTATTTGTTTATATGCAAATTAGGGTCAGTTTTTAAAGTTGTTGTTTTTTTATTCTCTTTTAGTTGACAATTTGTTATATAAAACAATTTTTTCCACACAAATTATAAAAACGTAAAAACTCAGTGTTGATAGGAGAATTTGCAAATCCGAACTGGCATTAGATTATTTTTTTTGTGTTATAGTGCTCATTTTTATATTCAGCTGGTTGAAAGAGGTGAAAGGTTTCCAGCACACACAAATAATTTATATAGAATTCTTTTATTTATAATACTTTTGCAATACGTATGTATACATATATACGGACAAATTCATAAATAATTGGAGTGTTTCTATATAGATAAAGATAATTGTTATTATCGAAACACAAATTGAGGACATTATAAATCTATACGAGGGTAAATCAATTGAACCATAAAATTACTTTTAGGACTAAATCATTTATTATAATGCCATTAGCAATGATGTTTTTGCATTATATTTCATTCGATTTTGTTAAAACTATATATTTTGTAAGAACAAAAACACATTGAAACCAAATCCATATTTTTGTAAAAGATTTTGCTTTGTGACGTTTTTAATAAAATTACTAACTAATTATCACTATATTCGAACAAATTAACAACACTCGTATTACACTAAAGCGTTTCTAAATAACTAAAAATATTAATTAATAAATATTCGAAATTTTATGTTTGTAGATTGTATTTGTAATTATAACCTCTAAAATTAAATATATGTAATTACACACATACTTATAATATCATGTACATTAAGATATGCAATATTATTTGCTTATTGTCTTACTAGGATATCAAACACATGTTTGCGTATTTCCTGGCCGCCGTAGGGTATAAATATGCAATGATCCCCAGGTGAAACTAAACCTGGAGTCAAGCTGCCGCAATGGTGAGTTCGACCTACAAACAAAGGTTCCCCATCTTCAAATCGGCCTGTAAAAACAGCATTGTTTGGAATATTTTGGGAATCAGTATTAATCCAATTATAATTGTAGCCACACAAAATTTCAATTTCACTTTTTCTGATTTCTGAACCATCATAGCAAATATAGGCTTCACCTCTGCTAGTGACAACTTTCGTCGGTATAAATTGACCTTCATGCCAGGATCTTCCTACAAAGATGGCTGTGCCGTCAGAGTCGTAGCCAGCTACTACAGCATCGTGAGGAGTATGATCCAATTGTGAGGATATCCATTTGTCATTGTTCTCACATACTAATACTTCATAAGAGCTTAGACTAGTTTCCTGCCCTCCAAATGGTATATACAAACAACTATGCGATGGATGTACTTTACCTACACTTAAGCTGTGGGCATGCTGACCACGGCCAATATATAATGTCTCACCGCTAGATGTAACTCCACTAGATACTGCATTGTAGGGTACAGCTCCATTTTCACAGGGACACCAGCCATAACCAGGACCAACAAGAACTTCATAATAGTTTTTGGGAATTTCCTGTCCACCCCATGACACATAGGCACAACCTTTGCTCGGTATTACTTTGGCTGGTAAAATATCACCTTCATGCTTGGCGCGTCCTACATAGATAGGGGTCCCATCACAATCATAACCACCTTCAATAGCAAAATCTGGCAAATCGTCTGCCGATGATGATTGTATCCAATAGTGCTCTAAAAAGAATTATTTATTAAACATGTTGCCTTTGTTTCTTCCAAAATTTTACCCATGATTTAATATGAAAAATATTGCTGCGGACCGTGTTGTGTATTAAACTTTCAAGAATCAAAGTCTATAGAACTGATTGAAATCAGCATTTAAATAGTCCGACTTGTGAATTAGTATTATTTCATTTCTTTATATATATAAGTATAAATATAAAAATATAAATGTTGTGGTCAGCAGTAAGAAATTATGGAATTAATAAAAGTAAAATAAATATAACTAACGAATAATCAAATGATAAATATTTATACTCAAAGCAAAAAAAGTACTCCCAAAAAAGCTAAAAAGAAGTGGAATTTACTCCCTGGAAATACTGAAAAAGACCTGCAGTGATTTTAACATGTGGATTCCCTCAAAAAGGAGGAAAATATTTGTTAACTAGTGTTATCAAGAAAAATATTAGTATTTATTAAGTACATATATTAATTGAACCACGCTAAGACAATTTTAAATAAAAAAAATTATAACTCTATTAAGCTTACTGATAACAAACCAAATTATGAATAATAATTACTCAGACCAAAATAAAAAAATCATTTCGCACTTGTATGAATCAATATATTATGCGATTGGTAGACATACAGTTATGGGCGGCAAAAAATAGGCAGATATATACAACCCTATTACAAATCAAAATTCCACATAAATTATGTTTCCGTTTTTCTTGAAACATAATTGAATGTTCAATATCAAACAAACCTTTTTCAATGGAGAATATTTGTGCAACAATTCAGTTCTCTAACTCCTTCAACAGACAGACGGTAGGAAATGGTTAGCTGTGCTTTCGTTCACACTAATCAAATATTTGACGAAAAAGGTGTAATTTTGGAGGTACTTTTTTGTTTTGTTCTTGTTTATTAATATTAAATTGTTATCAGAATTTTAGATATGTGCCGTGTTTTTATTAATACATATGAAAGTGATAATAAATCATACGTATAGTATTTGCAGTATATGACAAATCGTTTGTTATCGTTTTGTTCTTGTATACATATTGTATTTATCATTTTTTTTTTATTTTTAAAACCCTTTGGGTTTTCTATAACAAGTGTAAATTTTATATTGAACGTTTAGTATCAATAGTTCTGCGCTTCAGTGAATAACGTATTTTTCAATATTTAATTTTTAATTATAATTCAATTAAATATTTCATAAACGGTTTAAAAGTAGCAATAAAATAGCAAAATGATGGGTGAGAATGAAATGTTTATTAAATAAATTTAAAAAAATTATACGTACATATTCGAAAAAAAAACTATTTGTTTTCAAACAAAAGTTTGAATTTTATTTATTTTACATTTTTTGTTTATTTTTGCACTTGTTTGTCTAAATCTATCGTACTGTCGATATTTGCACTTTAACTATTTTTACTTTTTCCTTTTGTAATACATTTTTAGGTTCTTATCACCCCGGTGGTATTATCAGTCCACGTATGTTATCTTTCAATGCACAATTTTTATAAAAAAACATGATAAAAAGCAAGCACAAGATCTAAGTATAAATATTTTAGTATTTAGTTAGTTTTTTTTTTATGCCCAAATGACATTTTAATACTTTGTTTTTAACTGGTGATTAATTATAAAAATTTGTTTTTTGCTGGACTAATTAATATTATAGAAACAACATGGGTCCATTCTGCCCCCGGTGCCCCTCTGCCACCATTGGCTGTAATCGGTGGCCATGACTGTGACGGTTCGCCAATATACGTTGGGCGGGCTTATCATGAAGGGGACAATATGCCCGCGAAAGTTGTGCCCAGCAAGGGATGTGCATATATAGCATGGGGTGGCCTCGAACATGTAAAGACACACTACGAAATATTAGTTGGCCAGGGCTATGGTTGGCAACCATGTTATGGAGGTGCTGTTCCCCCCAACGCTGTGCGCACAGGCATGACATGTACAGGAGAACCTTTATACGTCGGTAGAGGCCATCATGCCAACAGCTTATGTGTTGGTAAGATACATCCCTCTCATGGCTGTTTGTATATACCCTTTGGCGGCCAGGAGGTGCGTATAAATACGTATGAAGTGTTGGTGTTTGAAAATCGTGAAAACTGGGTGGCTTCAACGCCCAACTACACTCCTCCAGGTGCAGTTGTTGCCGGACACGACACAGATCGTGCTGTTATTTATGTAGGAAGAGCGATGCATGAAGGAGAAATGTTACCATGCAAATTTATACCCAGCAAGGGATGTGCCTATGTCTGTTATGGTGGTTACGAGATAAACAAACGTAATTTTGAAGTATTGTGTGGTTTCGGTTATGCATGGATTAAGCCACATCATCATGTAATTCCACCTAATGCAGTATCTACCGGTCGATCTCGTAATGGTGAACCTCTGTTTGTGGGTCGCGGTCATCATAGTGGAAGTTTAACACCCGGTTTAGTTTCTGTCAGCCAAAGATGCCTTTTCATTCCATATGGTGGTCGTGAAATTCGTATTAATGATTACGAAGTTCTAATCAAACAATAGTCGAGTTGCAAAAATGAATCAGATACAACTTCTGAATGTGAATTAATATACAAAGATTTAAATAAATATAAGCATTAAAAAATGAATAAGAAAACAATTGAAAAAAAAAACAATCTGTTTATTTCCTATTGTTGTTTTAATGGCTCCAGTAATGGTTTACGTTAAAATGTCATAAATCAGTTGCAGTCAATAGCTGTCTAAAAACTCATTACATTCATAAAGCTGAATGAATGCTAAATGTTTGTATGCTGTTGGTGGCAATTAGTAGCAAATAGTGAAGTGAGTGTTGCAAGTAGTCTTTTTAATGGCATTGCATACACTTTGAATGGCTTGTGTGAGTGACCAACATTAATGAGTTTAAACAGGGGACATTGAAAAAAACTTTACGTTGACACTATTGTCGTTGATGTTATTGTTTGTTTGGAAAGACCAGAAATCAAACAACGAAAGTGCAATCTGATTTATGACTCCTGCAACACTTAAATGCAAAAATTTAGTTACATTACAAATGGCATTTCATTATCACATTGATATAGAGTAGGACGAAAAATATACGAAAATCCTTTGCTAGCTGCTGCAAATGGTCTCTTGACTTGGTTCAATTTACAAACAACAACGTTAGATGAATATTGATATATTAAACGAACATGCATATATACATATACATACATATATATGTAGGTGTTGGTATATTGCTCATTAAACATGTATTTAATTTTTCTTCATTTGTTTATTTATTTATCCTCTTAGTATTCTCTGTTGCAGTTTTGTACACATGTTACATTTTAATTAAATTACGAATTAAACACAAACAATTTTATCACAACATTTCGTTTGGTTTAAATGAATTGAAATAAAATAAAATTTAATGCAACAAAATATATTAATTTTTATTGTGTATTGTGGAAAAATTAAATATGTGTATATAGGTACATATACATACACACATTAGAGGTGCCCGAAAATATCGATTTTGTTTGGTCTTATTTTAATTATAAGTATCTAAGACTTACTTATGTAAAATTTTATCACAATCGGATAACATAATTTTGGAAATCGATTGAAAAGTGTAAAATTGAATTGAAATTAACGAACAAAATGAGAATCATTCAAGCTAAATTCATATTTTTTGCTCATCTCTAATGTAGGTACATATTACGTTTGTTTGTGTAAAGAGAAAAAATCAACATGTCAACCTTTATTTTATGCAACCGAAATAACAAAAAACTCATACATACTGTATATAGGTATATTCGGAAGTATGCAAATATTAAGGCTGTAACGAAAAATATTAACTTTTTATTTGTGCAATGTATTCAACAATTTATTTTATATTATAATGCACTTTATATTTACATAAATTGGATCAAAGTCAAATAATGTTTAATTTTTTCTAAAATTTATATATATTTTTTTAATTTTCCAAAAAATTTTCAAATCTAAAAATTTTGTTCACTTGAAGGCTATACGTTAATGCTTACTGTTGTAATATTTTTATTAGAACATTTATGAATACGTCGACTATTAAACTAAAATTAATAATTTAATATTGATAACCGATTTCGATTGATTTTTCATTGCCATTCTAATGTTTATATACATGTATATATAAATTCATACACTTTGTCATTTACTGGTTTCTGTGGTTTGTCAACATTACCCGCAATTATTGCATTGAATTGTCAAATGATCTCTCTTTCTCTCTGTGATTTCACAAAGCGAATGAATAAATGAACACATTTATGCATTTATGTTGTACAACAAGTTGTTATTGTTATTATTGTTTTTATACCCTTCACCTTCGTACGAAGGATATACATACATGTACAAGTTTGCCATTCTTATAATAATTTTATTAAAATATAAGTTAAAATTAAGTTTCTGAAGATCTAGATATCAGCAATCTAGGAAAATAGGGAATATGATCAAAATTCATAGAAAGCATGATTTATTTAGGATTTTGAATAAATCATAGACAATATGTATATTAAAAGAGGATTATAAGCAATTTATGCGCAGAATTTGGAATTTTTAAGTTAAAAAAATAAAATTTAACTTACAAAAAATTAACAAATATTATATATAGGTTTTAAAATAATACGATAATTTTTTTACACTTAATTTTTTTTTTATTATTATTAAGGAACTATGTTAAAAATTGGTCTACAATTTCTTAAACCTGCCATATTGAACCTTAATTTCTATACATTTCTCACACACAAGCATAATTTTAAGAGAAATGAAAATGTAAAGAATGTCAAGAAAATTTTGAAGGCAATATAATTTAAACAACCAACTTAAGCTGGAGGGTATTTAAGATTCGGCACTGCCGAATATAGCACTCTAACTAGTTTTATTTTATTTTGGTATACTATTTTGTACAACATACAGGTCCACGTGAGTACAATTGCAAAACAATTTTGTTTTAATGTATAGGAACATGCAGACACACACACCTACATACACATATGTATGTACGTTTGTACTTAATTTTGGCATTTGTTCATAGGATTGTATCTGGGTTTATTGTGTGTGAAAAGTATATTAAATGCTATTTTAGTAGTTATTGAAAAGCACATACATTTGTATATGTATACATATACACATACACATATGCATATAATTATGTACGTTTGTGGGAAAAGATATCGCTTGTAATTATCCACATCATTTTATATACATAATAATAAAAAATTGTCCTGGGATTTCGGTAAATTTTTTCACTATACGTTTAGGTAAATTTATTTTTTTAGATTTTTGAAATTCTATATTTGTGTTTTCGGGAAACAATACTTGGTCTGTTCTTTGTGGAATAATATTAATGCACTTCTTCGACGATGTCAAAAATATTTTAAAGCAATTTGGATAATTGGTTTTATTGATTTTGATACAATTATGTATATATTAAAAATTAAATTTAATATTTTTAAGCCTCTCGCCTTAATACTTATTTTGTAAAAATTACACCAACATTATGTAGATGTTTTATGAAGAATGCTACAAAATGTATAACACGTACAATATCATGAAAAATATTTAGTTATGGTAGTTCTTGTTATTTGTAAGGTTTAATTTATTTCAATGCAATCTCTTTTAGGCATGAGTTAAATCTATTTCGCATTGTCAACCAAAAGCAGCTAAAGAACTGTGGTTAAATGTCGACAAATATTTGTGCTCATAGTTTTTGTTTCATAAATGTCAAGAGAATATTAGATATCTTTTTAAATAGAACTGTTACGTGAAAAACTACAGGTATTGTTTTATGGATTGTTGAATATTGTCTGGTGACAATAATGTTTGTTCATTTATACTTCATACTAAATTGTTCAATACAATCTATGAGCGGAAAATGTGGGAAATATATAGAAATGTGTTTATATACAATAAGCAGTTGAAAAAGTAGTTTCAACCTTTTATCCTGGGATTGGTAGAAGATCATTTATTGCATATCTATTGCTATCAATTGCTGTCATTGTTGTTTTTAGTTTGCATTTTGCATTTAAATGAGCAAAACTATATGACATGGTTCAAAGATGACTTACAAACGACCGTATATTGTGATTACTTTACCTGCATTCTATGCTGTACAAAAAGTTAGAATTACGTGCATAGTGTCTCTAAAAAAGTAAAAAATAGGTTTCTTAAGCTAAACTTGATAAAACATGTTAGATTTTTATGTGTACTATGTACATTGATAGTCGTTGTGTACACATTCATGTATGTATGTATATCGATTAAATAATATTTAATTGATTAAAACTAACACAAGTTTGTGGTATTTAACCTAGCCCAATTTCCATATGAACTCAAATATTTGACAATTTCGTAAAGTTCAGCTAATCTCAATCCCTTACCGAACAAAATCTATATTTTATAATTTGTTTCATAACAAATTTCTTCTATAAATCTTTGATTAATTGTTATGAATAAGGAGTTAAAGTTTATTGTTATATATTTCTAGGTTTTAGCACTTTTATTATTTACATACAATTTAATGTAAAAAATAAGTACTATATATGTATATTGATTTTAAAAGAAGATCCAATGGACATTCTTAGATTCATATGTACATACACAAATATACATATGTATATAAATAAACTCATATAATAAAAAATAAGTACGTAAGTATGTTTATATGAATAGTTTTGTAATTTTTTAAACATGTTACAAAAATAAATCGTTGTTTGCTACAGGTGCACGTACAATAATGTAGATTTTGTACAATAAAACAAAATTTCAAGAGAAGTTACACAGAACATACTATGTAGTACATACACATTTGTTGCAACGTTCCGTTCTGCATTGTTCCTGTCTTTTATCTTCCAGTTGTTTTTTTGTTTTGTAAAAATGAAACTTTTACGAGCTTTAGTTTTTTTACTTTTTCGTAAATTTAGTTGTTAACAAATTCACAATTAGTTGTTAAAACTAGACAAAAGTTAAAGAAACGTACGTACTGCTACTTACTATTTATTTACAAAGGAAACTAGAAAAAAAATGAAATAAAATAAACAAACAAAAAGATACATATTTACTTACACACCAGCACAAAATCCTGCTTTTGTTTCAATTATCAACATAAATTACTTGGAAATCAGCAAGTAAATCACACACATATATACAAACATGTTGGTGCATACATCTACACGTACAAATTGTGTAGAGATACAAAAATAAAAAGAATACACCGTAACAAGTTACCAAAAGTTCGTTATTTAAAGCTGGTTTTTATCAAGAATTCCTAATGATGGCAACAAAATAATTTACTGTTAATGAAAAGAACAACAACAGCAACAAGAACAAAAGTAAAGACGAGAATAAATTTAACAGAAGTTAAAGATTCCAAAAGTCTTTTTTTAATATGCAATTAAATACACTGAACAAACTTAAATTAAACCATGTGATGGGGATGAGAAATTCTGCTCCCATTATACATACCTAATAATAAACACACACACACACTTCCATGTGTATTGAAGAAAGTATGTATTTAATCTCTGAAGTCTGACATATAATCCAGCATATGTGTACATACATGTATATACATATGTATATGTAGGTATTTACATTTGGATAAGTACTCAAATGGAATTAAATGAATTATTAATAACTCTGAATCTCGAAAATCTTAATGATCAACAAGCGCGAACTTTATTTTTGCAAGTGTATTACTTCTTGTCATTAATTGTTTTTGTGTTGTCGAAGTGTTTATCAATACATCGGAAGTTGAGAATGTTTCCCCAGATTTTCTTTTGAACAAATTCAGCTATTTTTTAAATTTGGCCATTAATAAGATGTTGGGAAGTGTAAAGTAAAAAATGTCAGACAAAAATATTATTTGAATAACGATTTGACGAATGACCAAAATTGAACTTCATACTTGAGTATACTTGTTATTTGTATGAGATTTATATTTCACATACGCTATGATGGCTAAAGCGTTCAATCTTTGATGGAAATTAACTTTATAATTACATAAAATAATTTATAGTATGTGTATATATTCATATTTTACGTATGTTTTATATATTACACATATGTATGAAGAGATTTTATTTTACAATACATGCAATTTCCACATGTTCAACTTTGATTTTTTGTATACAAAAATTTTCCCTCATAGGACAATGTCTCACAAGAATCTAAAACTATACAATTTGGCTTAGCCTAATGTTTAACATTTTCTTTATTGTTGTATAGCATACTAAGAATGGAAATAAAAAACATAAGAACAGCACCAACAATGAGAACATGTACGATAGTTAATATACATACATATTGGGTAGATGTACACATTTATCTATTGTTCCCAGAAGTAAATTTGTAAATTAAACCTCTTACAAAACAAAAGGTTAACTATGATAAATTTCTGAGCATTATTCTAAACGAAATCAATTAACAGACACATTTTTCGACTACAAGACGTAAATTGTAGCATATTTTTAGGAAAGTATTTAAATAAATATTTTAAATAGGGTGTTGCGAACGCCAGTTTAGCGAAAACGAATAATACATTTTTTTGCGAATGCGAATGCAAAAAGTATAATTCAAATTAATTTAACATTAATTTTCTGGCTAAACTAGAGGCGCTAGGACAAAAAGAAAAAGATCTGTGATCCCTGCAATTTATCATCAAAAATCTATATTTTGAGTGAAAACATAACAACCCATTTTCTGGCTAAACTAAAGGCTCTAGGGTAAAAAAAAAGAAAATCTGTGATCACTGTCATTTAACATAAAAAATTAATTTTTCGACTAAAAACATAAAAGTCCATTTTCTGGCTAAACTAGAGGCGCTAGGGCAAAAAGAGAGAAAATCTGTGATCATTTTAATTTTCCTCCAAAAACCGAATTTTTGAGTGAAAACATAAAAGTCCATTTTCTGGCTAAACTAGAGGCCCTAGGGTTTTTGTGATCACTTTAATTTTCCACCAAAAATCTATATTTTGATTGAAAACATGAAAGTTCATTTTCTGGCTAAAATGAAAATGAATGATAAAATGAAAGAAAATTTGTATTCACTTTAATTTCTCGCCAAAAACCCAATTTTTGAGCGAAATCATAAAAGTCCATTTTCTGTAAGTAAGCGAATAATTCGCATATGCGAAAGCGAGCATTCGTTACATCCCTATTTTTAAAGTATATATTAAAGTATTTAACGTATTTAAAATATGTAAAACACAACCCGATTTTATGCTTGACTAATTTTTTAAAGGTGACAACAATATTTATATATGTAAGTATCTATGCAAATATTTTTAACTGATAGGAGTATCTGTTATCTAAGATGGTAGTTCGTAGAACTCTACAGCAAACAATTTTGTTTTAATGACATAGACAAAAGTAGAAATATTTGCTACTAGTAAAATGTTTTTTTATGTTTTTACTATAAAACATTTATTTTGGGGACTATATTCAAAACCCTCTATCTTACACAAAACAAAAGTTTTTAGCAAAGCAAACAAGTTGTTTCACTTATTTGTCTTCTTTAATTTTTTGTTCTATAATGTACATATTTCAAGAACACACCTAAAGCCTTTTATAGACATACAATGTATATAGTTTTAAAAAAATTTCATTTTTTGCTAACTTATAAAAATATTAATTATGTATAAATAAATCTTACAGATTAATGGTTTTCATATATTTATAATGGCTGATAATCTCGAAAAATGATTCAGTCAATTTAAAATTCTTATTGGGCATGTCCATATTACTAGCATGAATATTTCGCAACATAAAAATTTTTGAAAATAATCGAATTTTAAACCATAATTTAAAAATTTATAAAGAGCTTTATATTAAAAAAAAAAACTTTTTTTAAGATATAGGGTTGAGTCCCATACACGCTCAACGCTTTTATTTAGGTTTTGCACTTCGTTGTTTGTAATTTTTTTATAACAAATGTGGGCTTGTGTGCTCAATATTTTTCCACCAAAAGCATAATTTTCATCCATATACATATAATATAGAGGGAATTGAGAATAGTCCCTCGATATGTATACTTACTATCAACTTTTTTTAATAAAGCTTAATAAAATAAAAATTTTCATACAAAATTAGATTTACAAACCGTTTATAAAATAAAAATGTGTTTATGAATAAGGCCTTATATAGATATACATACATATATACATACATATGTATGTAGTATATATTATGTATTTTATCTATGTATGTAATGTTATTTACCGAACATTGAAAAAAATATGTATTTTTTTGTCTATAGACAAAAATTCGTGCTTTAACTCAAACAAACATTTGACATTTTTGTGACACTGTCATAATATGTTTTGGCAGAGAAAGAGACAGAGTAGAAAAAGAAAAAAATTATGTTGATTTTTTATCTTGTTGCTTCCTTCTTAATATTAAAACTTAAAGAATGTAAAAAAAATATTGAAATAAGACCTTTAAATAGACAGAAATGAGTTTCTTTTACTGATATGTAGTTTTTTTCTAAATTAATGCATTTTAAAGAAAACTTTAAGAATTACGTCAGTTCTTAAATACATTTGCTTCACTGTTTTAATACATATTGTAATTAACATGTCAATAGCATCGGAAATATGAGGAAATTACACATTATTGATGATTTTCGATGTTATTGGAATCACTTGCACAATACGTGTAGGTATGTTTGGTTAAACATATTTTAGATACATATTTATACATACATATATGTATGTGTATATAAATAGATGTGTGTTTGTTTATTCTTCACGCACATAAAAAATACTTATTCATTTTGCTAGTCAGTAAATTGATTTAAAGGGTCCTTATTATTTTAATTATCTTTGTATATTTCCCTATCATTTGTAGGTATGTATTTACTTCAGCTGTGAATTGAACTGTAGAGTAAACAAAATTCGTTTATATGTACTTAATGCACATCATGTTGTGCTTTTTATTTGCAAGACTACAATTTATTTCAATACATAGGTATGAAGAATGTATGTATATGTTATGAGTATCGAGTATTTTGAAATGAATTTTTCAGCTTGACTGCGAAATGCGTTAAAACAGATAAATGTAAATATTGAAAATGTTTAAGGCTTAATGGTACTGTGAAGAAATAAAAAAAAAAAAACAAAATAATTTTTACAGTACATATTACTATTTATCAGTATGATTAAATCTATAAGATTTCTGTGTATGAAATTCATATCGATATTTGAAGATCTTGAAGTTTGTGGATTTATTGTACTAATCTTATACATATGGGAAATTTCGTGTCAAGTGACCCAACTTTAAAAATCGATGTCTTCCGACTTGGATGAAATTCACACCAAGGTTAGTACTATGTAATCACAAAGCTCTTAAAGGCAATGGTCTAAGCATTCTTTTGAGAAAAAAATACAACAAAAACGTCCATTTTGAAAAAATAGTGGCCCATTTGGACAAAAATTTAAAAAAAATATTTAAAAATTTTTTTTTTTTAAACAATGAAGAAATAGCTATCTGAACTCCATTTTTTGCTAGGACCAATAGGTGAAAATTTACACTCATTTGAATAAAATCCTGTATGATCAAAATGTCCAACTTTGACCCCCTCCAAATCCGGCAGTTCTTGACCGATGGAGCTGCAAATTTGTGTCTGACCTACTATCCAATAGTACTAACTTTAGTGCAAATTTCGTCAAAATCGATTTTTTGAGTTGGATCACTTGACATGAAATTGCCCAGACAATGTATGTCCAATAAAAGGTTTAGCCTATTTTCAAAGCAAAGCGTATTTAGTATACAAATGCTTAGTTACAGAGTAACTCGTCGGATTCTGTAATCGTAAATGTTGTGATATTGCAAATATGTAATAATGAAGGTTATGAGGTCAACAATATCTTAAGTAAATTCACATTGTATTACTTAATCATATTACAATTAAAAAAAATACTTAAATAAATATTTAGATACGGAAGTACATTTTACATTTATTGTATATACATAAGTAGTTACAAAACAAATATTTCATTATTATTTACTGCTGATGAGTGATAAACCAGTCAACCTCAAGTTTTACCACAAGTTTCTTAGTCACCTCAAAAAGCGACGAATAAAAATTAAACATTTTGGTAAAGATTGTAAAGATAAGTTAATTGAAGGTGTTATAATGAAAGTGTTTTACAATTATTTTGACTTCCATTACAAAGATTCTTTGTATAAAAACGCCTTCATAGTGGAAGTAAGTAACTCAATTTAATCGAAACAATTAAAGCGAGCGGACAAGCAAATGTACATACGTTGTTTTTGTTTATTAAATTGTACTCATTTTAAATATTTTTGAATATTTGTACACTTTTAAAATTTGCGATGAGAAATTTAAATTTTTTCTTGATATTTTATTTGAGTTTGTTTATTAAATACTCATATCCTGTAATGGGATTTGCCCTCAAGGATTTGGCAACAAATACCAGTGATGATGGCGCTCATCGCTCATCCCGTACACGCACGGAAGATGAGTTCAAATATGATGGTCGCATCGTAGGTGGCTTTGTGACATCAATTGCAAATTATCCCTATCAGGTTTCATTGCAATATCACAATGCTCACATTTGTGGTGGTTCAATTGTGGCTCACAATATCATTTTAACGGCAGCTCATTGCATTGAACAGCCCTGGGATACGGCAGCATTTCGTGTACGTGCCGGTTCATCTACACATCTCTATGGTGGTCAATTGGTCGGTGTCCGTCATATATTTAAGCATGAAACATATAGCAGTTCGACACTGGATAGTGATGTGGCTTTGGTGGTGCTTAATAAAAATCTTACTTACACACGCACGGTACAGCCAGTGGAGTTGGCCACATGGGGAGAGCAATTGCCAAACGAAGACAATGAGTTCTTTGTAAGTGGTTGGGGGTTGACAAGTGAGACGGGACTAGTCTCCCCTCTACTCAACTACGTTGCTGTACGATTAATTAATCAAAATACTTGTTCAAAGAATTATCAATATATTGCAACAATCAGTTCAAAAATGTTTTGTGCTGGTTACCCCCAAGGTGGCAAAGATAGTTGTCAAGGCGATTCTGGTGGCCCATTGGTGAGTTATGTTTCATCATCGTTGCGATTGTCGTCATTGCTATTGACGTCAACAACAAAAACCGATACCAAACCAGCATTAGAATTACAAGCAAATGCTTTGAAACCGAAACAGTATGGTATCGTTTCATGGGGTATGGGTTGCGCTCAAAAGAGTTATCCAGGTGTTTATGCCAATGTGGCTGCCTTAAGGCCTTGGATAGATGCAAAACTAAGAGAAATTAGTTATCTTTAAGTATATTTAATTTCATTTTATATTTATTTAATTTTATTTTATATTTATTTAATGTATTTAATTTGTAAATAAAATGTTCTCATTTAATTTCTTTGCTTAGAAATTGTTTAAGTGAAAATAATATTTAAAAAGATTTTATATATAAATGTGTTTGAAACAAACATAAACAGCCTTAAAAACAATTAGTTAAATATCCAATTAACACTTTATTTTAACCTCAAACAATTTCATTTAGTTGCCTTCTAGCCAAATGACAGAAAAGTTAATTTTAAATGTCAATTTGAAATTGAAAGACATAAGATTAAAATAACTATAACTAAAACAATGACAATGGCAACAACAACAACAACCAGAACAATCCAAATACCAACAATTCTACTCGCACAACAAACAGCAACAACAATAAAAATGGTCTAAAGACAAAACAGAATAGAAAAAAAATAATAAAACAGAACGATATAAATACAAGATCCATATAAATGGCAAATGGAATGGTACAATAAATATTTTGTAAACAGGAAATACAAAATGAAATAAAATCACAGGCACACTCACACACACTTTCAAACATCGAAGCGAATAACCAAAGATGAGAAAATAACTATATGTACATACATACATATGTATGTACTAGGAATCCAAGTATGTATTATACATATACAATATATACGGACTATCCCTGCAGTCCTTGAAACAAGTTCCTCATCGAAGTGTGACAATTTTTAATTTTGTATTATCCATGACTAACTAAATGTCAGTAAGTTTGTGATGCCAAAACAAATTTGTACTCCCTGTGTATCTTTATATTAAAAATGTTGACGGTTGATGCCTTTAAAGCTGCAGGAATGTAACGTATTGCAATATTCCTACATACATACGCATCGAACATTGATACAATACATTTACACAGAACTATAGAATTAAAAGGCTAAAAAAGGGAAATGAATGCTGTTCATGACTTTGTTGTTCTTAATGTTATTGGATCTGTTGTTGTTTTTGCTGGTATTGGTGTTGTTGTAGCCATTACGCCTTGTCCTTGTTCGAGTTTGTTCTCTAAAGTAGTGTTAGACATTTAATGCAATAATTCGCGCCATTACATTTCTTGTTCCAATTGCTGTTATTTTTGTAGCTGCTTTCACTGCTGATGTCTTTTCTGAATCTTTTGTCATTCTCTATCTCCTCCTTATATGTTTCGCATAGAAGACTTGAATGAGCATGGAATTGAAAGGCCTAACGGCAAGTATTTTTATGACCAACAAATGTTTCCCTCCATTAAAAAAACTGTTGGGAAGCATTGAGGGCTTAAACAAGAACTGTATATATATGAAGAAGTGTTACTTGTAATATGAACACAAATAAAAAATGCAAAAAAAGAAATGCTCCAACTTAAATTAAAGTTAAAACACAGCTGCACTTTGCTCATAAAAATACACAAAAGAAAATTGTAATCAATTCAATATTTTACTGAAATAAAATAAATACGAAAATACAGAATCAATTGATTCACGCAAACATTATTTTGCCTTTTTCCTATTCTTCTACTTCTTGTCAAAATAAAAATCTTTATAAAACTGCAACACTTGAGATCTAAATAAATACTGAAATTAATTTTCTTACAGAAATATTGACGGTCAATAGATGTTGTGAAGTGAATGTTTCTAATACATAATATGTATGTAAGTATTCAGAATTGCTAAAGAATGAATTCAAGTTGTACAAACGTATTTAACTTGCAAATTTTTAAGATATGATATTACAATGAAATTGCATGATGTTGTTATCATTGTTAAAATTTTTAATTAAAGTTTTTAAATTTAAAATATGATTTCAGAAAAAATCTAAAAAATAATGTTTTACCTTTAACTGAATGTGAATAAATAATTACATTTTATACACTTTGTTATTTGTTTATTTATCTAATCTATGTTTATAATTTATTGCCTCAAATTCTATTTACAATTTAAATATTTTAGTTTAAGATGTTTGTCATTTCTATTAAAATTTTTAATTAAACTAACAAAAAATACAATAGTTCAAGTATGTCGTAATGATTTCAATAAATTCTTATGCCCGCATACACCTGCAACTCCCTCATCATTCAAAACACATAGGAATATTTGAAGTTTTATCTTTTATACAATAAAAATCTTTTAAATAAAATCTTTATTTTCTTAAATTTGTATAACAAAACAATTAGTCAAAAACTTGTTCTTTAAATATATTTAAGGAAAATTTTGCAAAATGTATATTTATATGTACATATGTATATAAAATACTAAAACTACTTATTAAATCTGCTCACAAAAATACAACTGTTACAGAATATTATTCGGCAAAATATCGATCGAAGGAAAAGTTCAAAAAATATTGAGTTGTTTTAAAGTTTCTTACAAGAAGTACATTTTCCGTTAGCGATAGTTTTAGAGTCTTAGCAACAAAATTGTCTTGTAAGAACCAAATCATATTTTAAGGGCAGATCTTATGTACATTTATTAGTTTCGGTGTTGGTCTGCATAAATATAACACTAATGAATTGATAAAAATATTTAAATAAAGTTTTTGTTTATATAGTGTTCATTCGTCTACATATATAGGAAGAATTCTCTTTCTGAAATGTTAAATAGTTTTTTAAACCTAAATAAACATAATTTAGTTTAGTCAAGTCTTTGTATTGTATCAGAGGGTGGATATGGAATTTTTCTTGAATTTCGCATATGGTAATAATTCTCTAATCATTTATAAAATGATAAATTATTACCAAAGATTCTTATTTTTGTCTTTTCAGTTGACTTGTGGTGTAAGTGTTGGTTTTAAAGAAATATTGTTTGGTGTGGTCAGCACCGTTTTCAATTTATTAACACCACTAACAAATCTTGACTTTTTTATATTATTTTTCTAATTTCTACAAAAACCACAAATCTTTTAAAATTTAATACTAAAATCCCAAAATTTTTAATAAATTTATTTATGAGTATGCAAAATATATAGATGAATGTTCTTATGTACATTAGAGCAGTAACTTATGATTATAATTTATAAAATTTAAGTAAAGGTTTTTGTACTCTCAATCAAATTTTAAAAGTATTAGTTTTATTTAGGAACATTTTTCAACTTGTTAACTATAATGTAATCATGTTTTTATTTCTTATAAATCGGTTATACCCTAATAGAAGTGTAAATATACATACATACTTGAGTACAGTGGCGGCAAATTGTACTTTATACTCGTAATACAAGGTGTGTAAATACACATACAATGATCAAATAATGTATGTATGTTTATATACAAACTTTGTCTTATTTCTTAAAGTATTTTATAAAATAATTCCCAATTTAAATAATCAACTATAGATTTTGTCGCAATCAAAATACTGTAACACTTCCATTGACACACCCTGTATTTATTATTTTTATTAATTGATTTGCGGAATTTTCCTTTTTGTCCAGTGTTTAGAATTTGTTTAAGTCGGTTCTTAATGGGACGATGTATGTATTTTATAAGTACAGACGCTGTGGAAAAATCTGACTCTTATAAGAAAAGAATTAATATTTCAGAAACATTTTAAGTGAACCATGCATGCATTTCACGTATTCTTTCGTGAGCATAACTTGCAGAGATGACCCTCATTCGGACATGGATTCTGTTTGGCCAAAATTGTTGAATTTGTTTGTTGAACTAAAATTTAATGAATTTTATAGAACATGTGTTAAAAATAAATTTATTTATTCATTCAAAACTACAAGTCTACACAAATATAAGGCATTATTTTATACTGTAATGTATGTATGTGTCTGTTTCTCCATCCACTATGTTCATTAGAGGTGTCCAAAATATATCGTTTATCTTTAGTTGGATCATATTTGGTTCATTAGTGTCTAAAACTAACTGGAGTAAAATTTTATTTCAATCGGATAATGGAAACCCGTGCTAAAAATCGATTCAAATGGGGTGATTAATGGTATGCTTCAAAAATAATTCCTTTGATATTATATATTATTATCTTTTAGAGACATATATCTTCCCAACTCGTTGATAATCAATATTTTTTGAACACCTCTAAAGTGCATACTAAATGTGAAATTTTTGTTTGTATTTGTTTATATTTTAATATAGTATTGTACATACTCATGTATATACATATCAGTGGACTATATTCAAAAACCTCTATCTTAAATAGCAAAAGTTTCAGATAAACTATTTTTTTTTCGATAATTTACCAGAATATTTTTATGTTCTACAATATCTTCCGAAAACGGCTTAAGTGCAGAAATTATTGCCACCAAAAACTCATTTTCATTCAAATGTAAGATAGAGAGTATTGAATATAGTTCCTTGATATGTATGTTTTACCCACAAAAATAATTGTATCTTTTCTTCATACTCACTTCGAATATGTGTTTGCTTATACATATCTACATACATACATATGTGACAATATACATATGTATGTAAGAGTGTGTGTGTGGATGTAGATGCGGGTTAGTTGAAAATGTAGTGGAGTAAATTTTCAACACCAGGCCCATGTAGACATTGTGCAAACAACAAATGCTTGAGAATATTTAAAAACTTAATAAAAGATTTTCTTGTACAGATGGTTTGCCTACAAAAAACCACATGCATCCCAAGGTTAATTGTTGGAAAAATTATTATTTCTTTTTATCTTAAATCTTAAATGAAATTCATGGAAAATTGCAGAAAAGAAAAACAATTTTCTGCTAAAAATTTATAGATTTACAAGTTTCTACAAAAACTTAATTAAAAAAACACAGATATGTTTAAAAAGGGAAATTAAAATAGTTGCTATCATAATTAAAAAAAATCTAAACTTAGTAGTGAATGCACATAAATTAAATTTCCTTGAATATTTTGAAGCTAATTGTTAATTTTGAAATACTTATATGCAAGTAGAATTTTGAAGGCTCATGGCTGCATGATATTTCTTCTCTTTTTTCCATAAACTTTTGAATGAAGATATCTTTGACCTCCTAATTAAAATATAATATCATCACAATTAAGTTTTTTACTTCCTTAACATTTACTACTTAAGTTGCAAGTTTAGGAAGTGTTGATAGTGTTTTCAA